TTCAAAATGATATAATAAATGATCTGTGGAGTATTTTGAGCTGAAACTTCACAGACACATTCTGGGGACACCAGAGACTTATATTACATATTGTAAAAAGGGGCATAATATGTCTCCTTTAGGGTCTTCGTGAAATGTCTGTAGCATACTTTGGTTAAAATTCCTCAATGGTCATGTAAAAGAACACTTTTTACCTTGTCAAAACCAGCTCTGTTCACAGCTATCCGTTTCGGTGTGTGTCTCTTTAAATGATAATGAGCTACTGCTCACCCCACCCCTCTCTTCCATTGGGCGTGTTGACTCAAGAATTGCTGGCTTGGACTCATGGCTCAGTGGTGGTCTTATTCAAATAGCTAGCTATCTATGTATAAACCGACTGCAAATTGAAACATCTCGCTGGATGACACAGTTTCAGACTCTGACAGCGCATAAGAAACTGGTTTCATTTATCTTTTCAGCTTTTCAAATGCAAAAACAAAAAACATTTATAATGTTACAAATATTTCTATTTCAAATAAAGTCTGTTCTTTGGAACTTTCTTTTTACCAAAGAACCCTGAAAAAAAGGATCCTGGTTTCTAAAAAAAAAAAAAAACTATTTTCTATATTGATAATAATAATAAGAAATGTTTCCTGAGCAGCAAATCAGCATATTAAACTGATTTCTGAAGGATCACGTCACACTGAAAACTGGAGTAATGCCTGCTGAAAATGTAGTTTTGCCATCAAAGGAATAAATTACAGGAATCAATTTTAAAGGTTATTTTAAAGTGTAATAATATTTCATCATATTATTGTTTTTACTTCTTTTAAAACCATTTAAAAATCGTATTGACCCCAAACTTTTGAACAGTATTTGTATTTCTGAGTGGAGCAGGATATTTATTGAGGGAAAAACAAAGGACGGGATGATTTTATCCACCAGGAAACATTTGCATTGTGAAAAATGGGCAGACACTGACCAATTTTGATTTTATGTTGACTTTAACCATGGCCTCCACTGCTTCTTTATTAGGTCTCTGCCAGGAAGTGCTCTGGAGCTGAGGTACTCCCAGGGAAGTGGGTCACTTCCTGCTGGCTCCACCACCCACCTAGATCATTATGGAAACACAGGCACAGGAGGTGTGGTCAGACGGGCTCATCGTGGACGCTGGGGCGGGGCAAGGGAGGACGCTAGCAAAGTGAGAACATCTTTGTATGAACCTGCTAATAAATTAACAAAAATGGCTTAATATGAAATTTAACTAGTTGCTTCTTACATTTCTCATGTTCAGTACGGTGATTGGGACAGCGGAGCTTTGCTGGGCACTGGGTTCGAGGGCGGCGTGGAGGACAGGTGTTCTGATGATGAAGAGGATCGCGAGACGCTCTTCGGATCGGAGCTGCTGTCACCAAGCGGTCAGACAGATGTGCAGACTCTCGCTATCATGTTGCAGGAGCAGCTGGAGGCCATCAACAAAGAGATTAAGTGAGTTTACTGCAGACGGAGGGACCTTGAGACCGCTTGAAAAATCAAACTTTCATTTAATGGGAAAGACATTTGAAATGGAGAGTGCTCAGAAAGGGAGGTTAATGGGAAAGATCAGGGAGACACTCGTTAAGGAGAGTATAGGGCAGGGAACATCAGTACATAAGAGTGTTTTCAAAATCGACTAGAATAACTCAGTCTTAAAGGGGTCATATGATGCTGCTAAAAAGAACATTAATTTGTGTATTTGGTGTAATGAAATGTGTTTATGCGGTTTAAGGTTCAAAAAACACATTCTTTTCCACATACTGTACATTATTGTTTCTCCTCTATGCCCCGCCTTTCTGAAACGTGTCGATTTTTACAAAGCTCATCGGTCTGAAAAGCGAGGTGTGCTCTGATTGGCCAGCTATCCAGAGCGTTGTGATTGGCCGAATACCTCAAGCGTGTGACGGAAATGTTACGCCCCTACCATATTGTGATGCCCTGTCCGGCCGGAGCGAAGAGACATAAAGATTAAAACCCATTATAAACGAGGCATTTGTTGCATCCAGTGGGGACATAATTACAGATTATAATGACTTATACTGTCTTTTTATGCGTTGATTTCTAGTCGTGTCCTCTTTTGGAAGGCCAAACAAAGTAGTTTCGCTTTCACAACGAAACAGCGTCACACACCGCGGCCTTGAATGAGCGGAGGCGGGTGGGCTTGAGAATGGCGTGGCCAGCGGATTCGACGAAGGAACGTCCGGGCGGGCTTGCGGCAACCACATGTGACAACCCCGGGCTGGACTCCGCTTCGTCCACGGTGAAAGCCTATCCGGCGATCCACAGCGCAAATTTGATGTATTTCCTCAGAGACCAGGCATGACGAAGCGGATATCGACCTCTTTTGGAAGGCCAAACAAAGTAGTGTCGCTTTCACAATGAAACACACAGCGCCTTCACGACATGGCGGCGGCGGCAACAACAATACTACAGCGAGAATAAAAGTTACGCTTTCTTTCTTTGCGTGAACATTTGGGCGGCGTTATGCAAATCTTCCCACATTGTGACGTAGACATGTGGGGGCGTGTTAGAACGAGCTGTTTTAGGTAGGCGTGGTTGACTCTTAACTTTTATAAAGAATATCTCTTTGGATTTGAGACTTTAGTCTTTGCAACTTTACAGATCTTCTTTATGCACCAAGAGCTTGTAACACTCCAAAGAGAAAGGAAAAATTGAAATCACATCATATGACCCCTTTAAGAAAACCCTGCTCTTTTTGAGTTCACCTGACCCCGATTGGACCTTTTACACAACACATAATATATAAATATGCATATATAAATATACATAAATATAACTGTTTTATATTAGAATATTTACATACATTTAAAATGTAATTTATTCCTGTGATGGCAAAGCTGTTATGCTGCTTAATATTTTTTTTTTTTAAATCTGATTCTTCTAACGTTCAAAAGAACATTTATTTAAAATAGAAATATTTTGTAACAAAAATATTTACTGTTAGTTTTGATCAGTTTAATGCGTCCTTGCTGAATAAAAGTATTACTGTATAAAAAATTACTAACCTCAAACTTTGTTCTCTTTGTTTCATTCTCTCTCTCTTTAGGTTTTGTAAATATGAAAAAGTCTTTAAAGGTCCTAATTTGTTCTTTTTCAATTTAAGGCCTTAAATTGGAGCCAAAAGTTTGTTATTTTCATATTTATATTAATGTTTAATGCCGTGTGAGGGAATACAGCACTTGTGATTGATATATATTTATATATAACAATAACCACACAGGGGAACAATATCGCAATTTTTAACAGCTGATGAACAATAAAAACATTGACAGCCAATCAGAATCCATCCTGCTTTAAAGAGCTCAGGCATTTAAAGCGGTAGATGACAAAACTGCAGTGCATGCTTATAATAAACAGAACAGTATCGTCCATTGTTAACGCTAATATAGTTATCTGTATCGTTTGTGCTGTATAGTAGTCATTTTTGGTGTGCCTTTAAAATGTCTTGCCTCATGATACCTTCAGAAGCCTTTGTCTTACCATCCTTTCATATTTTCTTCAGGCTGATTCAGGAAGAGAAGGAGAGCACAGAGCTTCGTGCTGAAGAAATCGAGAGCAGAGTCAGCAGCGTGGCTCTGGACGGCCCTCCTGTCCCCCCGACCTCTCTGGGGCGGGACAGCACAGGGCGTGGCTTCATCCCCCCATCCCTAACGTCCTCCACCCTGGCATCGCCCTCTCCACCCAGCTCCGGGCACTCCACTCCTCGCCTGCCCCACTCCCCAGCCCGTGAGACAGACAGACAGGTAGGAGCATGTGTGTGATTATTCACAAGTATTGCTATCACACATTGAATAAACATGTGCAAACAGCTGACTCTATTCTGACCATCAGAACAACAAAGATGACGACAGGTCCCTGGCCCTTTTGGATTCCACCCCTCCTCCCACCCCTCGTGCACTGCGATTGGACAGGATGACACACACCCATCCTGGTGCAATGTTGGATGACAGTCGTGAGTTCCGCAGGTGCGCTAACTGGCCCGGCCCGTAATCCATCCTTAAATAGGACCGATATTCTGAGAATGCACTATACAAAATGTATAGCCCTTCACACTTCAGTCTTAATACCTTTTTGTAAGTGACCTTTCTGTGGTTTTCCAGCCTCTCAGCTGATGGCAGCAGCTCAAACAGCAGCCAGGACTCCCTCCACAAGGCCAGCAAAAAGAAAAGCATCAAGTCTTCCATCGGCCGGCTCTTTGGGAAGAAGGATAAGGTCAGAATGGGTCAGTCTGGACGTGAGTCAGCATCTCTGGGTGAGTCTAACTTAAAAATACTTCAAAACAAAAAAAGTGCTTGACAACAAAATAAAAAAATAACACTGCACAGAATCAGAGGGATAAACTTAAATTATCCAGAAATGTTCCTTAAGGCCCCTATGAAATTGCTGACTCCTTTCCTAATGAAAGCATTCGTTTGCTTAGGAAAAATATCAAAGGGCTCATTGCCTTTTTAAGTAAAAAATAACCTTTATTTATGTCACAGTCATTCAACATGATTTGCTACATGCTAGTTGTTTCCTTTAGCATTAGTGGGAGGGATATTCTCATTCTAGAGAGCATTTGATTAGACAAAAGTCTGTATAGTACAACATGAGTCATCACTATTTTTTTGGTTCATTCTCCTGGAATAGAAAAACTGAATGTCTTATATATGTACACTAGCATTTAAAAGCTTGTCTTTGGCAAGATTCTTAATGTTTTTGAAATAAGTCTCTTAGGCTTTCCAAGGCTGCATTTATTTGATCAAAAATACAGCAAAAACTGTAATTTTGTGAAATATTATTACAATTTAAATTGTAATACTGAGTAAAACTGTGTTTTCTATTTTAATATTATTCCTGTGATGCCAAAGCTGAATTTTCAGCAGCCATTACTCCAGTCTCCAGTGTCACATGATCCTTCACAAATCGTTCTAATATGATGACTTGCTGCACAAGAAACATTTCTGGTTTCTAAACAAGCTCTGTAAACCATATCTGTAGCATGCAATTGATTAGCAAATATGAGTATATAACAATGCAACAATGGTAATCTGTGTGGTATTCTTACCTGCATTCAGTCCTGTTAATTTAACTGCCACCCTTAACCTCTCTGTGTCTTCTGTAGCCTCGACCCCCTCAGATGACCTGGGCTCTGTGGATCCTCTCGGACTCACTAAGATGGCTGGTCCGGTGGACAAGGACCGTCGCAGCAAGAAGAAGTAATTTTACTCAAACCAGTCAAGTGTAGTCTCTTTCTTCTGACTCTGTATCTCATTATTTGTACTGAATAAACATCTCACCCTTTCTTTTAGGCATGAGCTGTTGGAGGAGGCATGCCGACAGGGGCTACCCTTTGCATCCTGGGATGGACCCACTGTTGTCTCCTGGCTAGAAGTATGACTCCATATCTGAGCATTGCAATGGATAAAAAGGGGCTTGTTTAGTTTTACATTGATATATGCTGTTATGTTTGAAAATATGGCATTATTGTTTCCGACTGTCTACTTACATTCTGTGTTACTTCGATGTCCTAAGAAAAGGTGCTTTCTGTCAGCACTTTTTTGTTTGTTTTGTACTTTCCCTAGAGGTCACCTCTCTCTCTCTCTTTTAGCTGTGGGTGGGCATGCCAGCATGGTACGTGGCAGCCTGTCGTGCTAACGTGAAGAGTGGAGCCATCATGGCTAACCTGTCAGACACAGAGATCCAGAGAGAGATCGGCATCAGTAACCCTCTGCACCGCCTCAAACTGAGACTGGCCATTCAGGAGATGGTGTCCCTGACCAGCCCCTCGGCCCCGGCCAGCACACGCTCTGTACGCTCACATTACACTCACACACACTCACATACACTTACATATGCTAAATGCATCATAAAAGAATTAGGATTCTTGGGGTCCAAAAATCTGAGACCACAAATAAAATGCTTCTCATCATTTTTTTTTTTTTTTTTTTACAGTTTTTTTATTGCACATACAGTAATATTAACAGCAAAACAATTTAAGTGAAAAGTTGAATTGACAAATGAACATACACTACAGTTTAAAAGTTTGGGGTCTGTACGATTTTTAAATGGTTTTGAAAGAAGTCTCTTATGCTCACCAAGGCTGCATTTACACATTTGATAAAAAAATACAGTAAAAACAGTAATATTGTGAAATATTATTACAATTTAAAATAACTGTTTTCATTTTAATATATTTAAAGGGGACAAAACACACACAGTTTCACCCAATCTCATGTTAATCTTGAGTACCTATAGAGTAGTACTGCATCCTTCATATCTCCAAAAAGTCTTTAGTTTTATCATATTTATAAAAGAAAGATACAGCTTTACGATTCTCTCCGGAAACAGCCGAGCTCCTGGAGGCGCACCGTGGGCGGAGCTAAAGATTGACGAGCATTTGAGCTCCGATTGCCAACAAAACAGACATTTGATGCCGTTTCACTTGCCGTCTGCAGTTCTGAATCATGACCGGGATTTTTTTATAGCTGGGACCGCTCCATCTTTCAGTATCAAACGATGTGCTAATCCAGCGTCGAACTGGGCCTTGTTTATAAAACATTCCGTCAACAAACACGCTTGTGAAATTGCGTTGCTGCTCCGGAAAAACAAACTGCATCCACTGTTTACATAAAGTTGGGTTCTTTAGGAAGCTGAACAAAGTTATCTTTCCCTTACAACCAAAAACATACTTCTTTGGGGACATTCTTCCTGAGCGAGTCCCATGCAGCGCTGCTGAATGAAGCGCGTTGATGGGCGCGATCTCGCTCTCACTCTCACTCTGGTCGATGCGTGCGCGGGCACTCTTTCGGGAGAAATGCCCATATAAGGAGTTCCACCCTCGTCTACGTCATGAAGAGCCACAAACGGAAAAAACTCTCCGAAACTTGTACGAACCCGGAAGTAAGATTTTTAGCACAGAAATGCTCTGTCATACGTCCAAATTGTTTTTTGAACTTTTGTCCGTGCTTAGCATGAGAATCCAACTCTTTAACAGTGTAAACAACTTTGTTAAATGCATGAAACAGCATTGTACCCCCCCTTTAAAAAGTTCAAAAGCAAGAGCAACATTTATTTGAAACACTTTTTTATAACAATGTTAGTCTTTCCCATCTTTCTTGTTTAATGCATCCTTGTTAAATTAAAGTATTCTTTTCTTTAAAAAAGAAAAATCTTACTGACCCCAGACTTTTTAAAGGTACTGTAAATGTCAAAATGTAATATTTAAATGTTTATTTTATTGACAGCAGCATTCGAGCTGTATGAACTCATATTCTCCAGCTTGATTGAAGAATGATCAGAAAAGTTGAAACAAGAACATCTGTACAAAGAGTCACATGATCAATATCACAAATTTACTTATGTAATTAGTGGCCTAGAAAGAGTACAGAATCATAAATATTTCTTATTCGTTTTACATCATAAAAATACTTTGTTGTACTTATTAAACATTAGAGTTTAATATGTTAGAGTTTAAATCTCTATTTTAAGCATGATCGTAGACATTTTCACCCCACTCTACATAACTAATAAACAGTAATCCTGATAATTGTATGTGTTGTTTTTTTACCACAGTCAACCAGCAATGTGTGGATGACCCATGCTGAGATGGAGTCCCTGAATGCAGCAACCAAACCAGTTAGTAAACACTTTTTGTATTGTCTCAGTACTTATTGATGCTCTGACTAGATTACTAGTTTGGGAGAAGTAGATGTAACAGATCCGAATAATGTGTGTCAAAGCCATCAACTACTAGAACACATTAAAAGAATGGATATTGACACAAAACCTCTTACCCACCAATAACTGCACTTCTGACACAGATTTTTGATGTGATATTGTATTGGAACCGATATTTATTTTTTGTGAATATTTCTTTATTAATTAGACTGTTCTGTTTTCCAGTTTTTTTTTAAAGTAAATTTCATCTAGATAAAAATAAACACCAGGAGTGTTGAATTGTAATAGAGGTCTGCATTCCCGCGGCTCTCCAGCGGGAACCGTGGGACCCGACCGGATTTTTTAAATAAAATAAAACGTGGTAGCGGTCGATAACTCTGGTGTAATTTGAACGGGAGTGGGCGGTCTAACTACTGTGTTAACAGAAAAATGTCAAACGAATTTAGTATTTTGACAAGACGAATAAAAATTGCTAATAGGCTATTTTTGTACAACCTACATTTCTATTTTTATTTTCTCTCTGAGACACTTTTCCCCTATTGTGTTGTCAATGTTAAACGAACTGTATCCTGACAAGACGAATAAAAATAAGAAATACAATTTTTGTACAGTTTTATTTTCTCTGAGACGATTTTTCCTACTGTGTTGCATAACATATTAAATACATTTTGTGTCTTAAGATAATTCATATAAATTCAAGTCAAAGTAAATACATTCAAGACCCTTGACAAGACGAATAAAATAACATAAAATTTTGTGCAGACTAGCTACACTTTTATTTGTCAGCCTATCTCTCTTTCTTTCAGTAGCAGAAATTTAAAATGTGAGATTCTGGAAACGAGATCTAAATTTAGCGGGAACGGTCGGGTCGGGAAGAATATTATTCTAAGCGGACAGCGGGTGAAAAAGAGTGAATATATAGCGGGAGCGGGTGGGTGTGGAATAGAACCTTGCGGGGAGCGGGACTGAAAAAACAGTCCCTCGCTGACCTCTAGATTGTAAAGCGCTCTGCCCCCTAGTGGACAGTATGAGAGGCGGCATGAGGAGAGAGTGGAGTGACCGGACATGTGTTGATGCGTCTCTCTCTTTCTCTCTCCCCCTCTGTGTGTCTGGCTAGGCTGTAGCATTGAACATCCTCAACTTTCCCTCTTTTTTCTGTTTCAGTGTGAACTGCTTCCAACTAATGACCCGGTCACTAACAAACTGTTCCTCCCTTTGTACCTCTCTTCATGCTTTCCTTCTTCATTCTTCTTTGCTCTTCCTGTCCATCGATATGTCTTTCCTGCTGCCCCTCTTCTGCGTTCCTTATCTCCTCTTCCTCACCTCTCTCCTATCATGCTATCACCTCCGCACTCAAGGAGCTGAAAGAGATTAGCTGGGATCAGGTGAGTAACGTCAATACGTCCATTAAACACTTTCAAACTGATGGTGCCATCAGATAGTTGAGACTAAATTATCTTTACGAGTAAATCAAGTGTGTATTCGTATCACAATCACATTGAATCATTTAAGTGCTGTTTCCTTTTTGATAAATGGAAGGTTGTTCAGAGCTCAACAGTAACAGTACGGATTTTTTTTTTTTGGCCTCGAGACCAAAAAATATAAATATATCTGTTATATGAATTTAAATGTCTGATTTTAAATTGTAATTTTTTTTCTCCAAATTTTAAATGTATATTGAATAATAATAAAATAAATAATACATAAGTGTTTAAAATAAACAAATATTAATGTATTGTTTACATTTTTACATTTTAAATAATACATTTGTTATTTCATGTTTATTTTAAATATATACTTTTTTTCTATTAAATATTAAGCTTAGTTTAGTTAAGTTAAATGTTTTCTTTACAAAAGAAAATGTGCAGTAATAGATGTAATAGCAATAATTGCTTTTTATGCCAGTTTTAAAAATTCATGAACATAATCAAAAGATTTAAGACATGGTGCTGATCCAATAAGGCAAGTGATAGTTTTATTAACTGGCTCAGAATTTTATTTTTAAGCCCTAAAGTTTGGATTTGTATGTATGAAATACACATTGTAATGAATGAACTGGAATACAATTGTGATATAAAGTGTGTTTTAAGTTTTTGTTTTTTTTTGCCTTCCTTTGTGATAGATCCTGGCTTATGGAGATATGAACCATGAGTGGGTGGGCAATGATTGGCTGCCCAGTCTGGGTTTGCCCCAGTACAGAAGCTACTTCATGGAGTCACTGGTGGACGCCCGCATGTTGGACCATCTGACCAAGAAAGAGCTGCGTGGGCAGCTGAAAATGGTGGACAGTTTCCACAGGTATTTTCTGTCTCCCTCTCCCCATCTGTTAAATGCTGCCCCATCTCATTCCATCCAATGACTATCAGTTATTCTCATGGTGCAGGTGTGTGTCTTAGGGCCTTTCCTAATCTCTAATGTGCCTGGAGTTTGTCAGGGTGGAGTGCCCTAATGAATTTAGATAGCCCCACGACCTCTCTCTTGATCCTTGTGACCTTTTGACCCCACAGGGTGAGCCTGCATTATGGCATCATGTGCCTGAAGCGCCTGAATTATGACCGCAAGGAGCTGGAGAGGAGGAGAGATGAGAGCCAGCACCAGAATAAAGGTTTTCTTTTTATCTTTTCCTTCATCTCTTTTTTTACTTGCTTACTGTTGCTAACAGAGATGCCTAACATTGAATACAAGAGTACACTGTCATTGTAGGGGTCTTGTCCAAGTTGCATATGATGGTGGTCCCTAGCATGGCATGTTGGATGTCTGTAACACACTTTTAACACTATTGTAGCTTGCAAATAATTGTTAAATATAATTTTTTGTCATCTACACCACCGTTCTAAAGTTTGGGGTCAGTACGATTTTTTTTTGGAGAAATTAATAATATTATTCAGCAAGGACACATTAAATTGACTGGAAGTGACAGTAAAGACATTCATTATGTTATCAAAAGATTAATCAAGTAAATCCTGTTGTTTTGAACTTTCCGTTCATCAAATAATCGTGAAAAAATGTATCACGGTTTCCACAAAAATGTTAAGGAGTTGTTTATGCATTGATAATAAGTGTGAAAATATGAGAAAATTAATCAAATCTATTTATTGAGTATCAAATCATCATATTAGAATGATTTCTGAAGGATCATGTGACACTGAAGACTGGAGTAATGGCTGCTGAAAATTCAGCTTTGCATCACAGGAGTAAATTACATTTTAAAATATATTAAGCTAGAAAACATTATTTTAAATTGTCATAATATTTCACAATATTACAGTTTTTACTGTATTTTTGGTCAAATAAATGCAGCCTTGTTAAGTATAAGAGACTAAAAATCTTTCTCGACCCCGAACTTTTGATTGCTAGTGTACAATTTTAATTTTTCCTTTACGCTAACTAGTTCATCCAGGAAGACTGTCCTTCAAAACTTGCTGGCCTGAGTTATAATGAATCACCAGCTACATCAGTACTAAACTGGCATAAACCAGTCTGAGTGAGCATGGAAGTACATGTTGGTCTAAACTGGTATAGCAGGAATTTTAGGACATTTTCTGGTGGTTTTCCAAGTTCTCTTTGGGTTTTATCATGTTAATCTTTTGCTTTGCATTATCAATCAAGTCATACAGCAGAACAGTCTGATAAACAAAATGTACAAAAGGGAAAAAAACAGTAACAGTCACCCATGGAATGTACAGTGCATCAAAACATCAGACAGTGAATGAGAATATGGCAGAAAGAGAAAGGAAGGGTGTTTACACAGAATGCATTTGTTAATAATAACATACATTACCAGCAATCACGTCTGGAAAGTGTTGAGCGGCCCAGCCTTCCATTATGCACAGGATTCAATGGCACAATAGAGATTTCACATTTGAAGAGCAACTGATCAAAGCCCAATGCACAGATCGCATTATTAATCTCTCAGTTGTGAGTTGTTTTAAAGGTGCAGTTACCGCCTCATTCAGTACCTTGATTAGAAACAGATGTCTTTGCTGATCTAGAAGTTATTCATCGCATAGCAACACAGATGCCTTCATGCCATTTGAGACTATATTAAGCATGCACACATCTCTCTGCTCACTGTAGTGCAGGGATACTTTTGTGTGCATTGCTACATGCAAAGCGAGCGAGTCTTTAAAAATACTATGAATTTAAAAACAGTTAAATGTAATCTTTAGTAAATATCAAAATTAATTTCCATTTTCATACTGTACAATCTTAATGTTTTGATGCCAAAATGTGCCTGCTGTATTCCAAGCAATTGTTTTTAGTGTTTTATATTTAGAAGATAGTGTAGAATTTCATGAAAATCAAACATTTATCAGTTATTGGCATTTTATTATTTTAAAATCAGTGCATTTCCAACTACAGTTCATGAAAACACACTAAAACTATCAATAGCGAGATCTGTTGGATATTTCTCTTCTTTTTTAAACAAAGAAATTGATGATTAACTGTGGTTACTAAAACATGTAACTAAGTGTTATTGTGGTATTATATATATATACTATAATAGCATTTATTAATATTTGGAATTAGATTTTAGTTTTATATTTTACTTTTAGTTTTAGTAATTTTGTTATGTGCTTTTATTTATTTCTATTTATTCTATTTCAGTACTTGCCAAGGCAACATTTCTATATTTTTCTTTAAGTTTAAGTTTGTCATCTTTTTCATCAATAAAATTCTTTCTTTCTTTCTTTTTCAGCTTTATTTCAATGAATGACAATTATTTGTAGTAGTTTTAGTTTTATTTAACAATAGCAAATCTGGCTAAACCAGGCCCCTAGTACATGGCATGTTGCCATCTATAGCTTTTCCGCCATGTACAGACAGAAATCTACAGAATATGCAGTTGCTGTACCTGAAGCTGTGAGGGTGTTTTTTTTTTTAAATATTGACACTGATATTAACACTGTAAATGACTTTATAGGAACGGTTTAACTGTTTTCCATGATTGCATTCCTTCCTTTGAACTTTGGTTTGGAGAAGCTGAATCAACAAAGCAAATGCAAAGTCCCTGGAATCCCCTAGAAATACAAAACAGAGACAAAGACTTTGTCTGAAACAAAAACACATGTGTCTAAATGTGCATTGGCCATGAGAGGTCCATCTGAAAGATCAGGAGCAACTGAAACAAAAGATGAAATCCAGAGGCATCACCCAAGATGGAAATCGACCATTATCCAGTGATAATGATCAGTGGTTAACACCCTCCTGGAATTCTATTCATAGTCCAGCCCATGTGTTTCCTGTCTAGATGTGATGGTGTGGTCAAACGAGCGTGTGATGTGCTGGGTGCAGTCCATCGGCTTGAAGGAGTATGCAGATAATCTGACTGAGAGCGGTGTGCATGGTGCCCTGCTTGCCCTGGACGACACCTTTGATTACACTGACCTCGCCCTGCTCCTGCAGATACCCAATCAGAACACACAGGTACAATGATAGGACGCCTCACAAATATTTGTGTTTTAAACACTTTAAGACATGACCTATATATTTCTAACACATTAACTACATTTACATTTATTAATTTAGCAGACGCTTTTATCTCAATAAACCATTTTTCTTACACCATTTTCTTTTCTTTTTAAAGGGGGGCACAAATAAATATTTAGATATTGACAGCCTTTATATTTATATGTATACAGGGAGTCTTTTTAATACAGTTGATGTATTTTTTGCATGAAAACAAACCCTGTTGATTCATCAAGTCAAACAATAAGAGCTTTATCGATGAAAGCAGCACCTACTCATTACTCCTCACCAGACTGGGTTAATAACATGTAAAGTATGTTTATTCCACATCCAGGCACGACAACTTCTGGAGAAGGAATATAACTCTCTCATCGCCATGGGAACAGAGAGGAGGCCAGATGAGGTGAGCACCATGGGACATGAGCACAGCTGGATGTTGATCATCCTTTACCTCCCACCACTGAAATACATACTGCAGTATAATGACACTCCTCTTACAGGAGATTCAGCAGTCAGTTTTTGTTAAAAATGACATGGCTGATAATTGAGTTCATAATTATTCTCTGTTGGGTGACCTGACTGAACTCCTCAAATTGCTGATGTTTTTTCTTCTGTTCTCGTGTCCTCTAGGATGGCACTAAGACGTTCACCCGCTCCCCTTCATGGAGGAAGATGTTCCGGGAGAAAGATCTGAGGGGCGTGACCTCTGACTCCTCAGAGACCTTGCCTGCTAACTTCCGTGCCTCAGCCATCTCTACCCCCTCAGTCACCCTGAGGAAGGTCCAGAGTGATGGTGAGATCACACATTCTCCCCTAGGAAGCCACACTTTTCATTTTAATAATCATATTACAGTTTTTTCATTAGGACACATTTTTCTATACTTTGGTCACTTTTTAAAACTCTTCACACAGTTCTCCTTAGCAACTTTCAGCTTGGCACAGCTGTAAATTTCACACCCAAAATGCACTAAATCTACCAAAAACACTTCATAGATGTCTCAGATCAAGTCATTCTTCCATAACACTAGCAAAGCTTGTCACCCAACAAACACACTTTGTCACTCACACAACGATGACCTAAAACACGAACAACAAGTAGCATTATCTAGTGTTTACTTTTGTTACATATCTTTACAAAACAAGAATGACAGCTGTCTACTGTTTAGAATTCACTGCAGTATATGTTACATGATCCATGTTTACATTACGGTACAAAATTTGCTCTAAGTTGTCCCTTTTCATATAGAAAGTGGCAATGAAAGTACCAGCTACGTCTAATTGTTTTGATAGTATTTCATTTTTTAGATTTGGAATATATTTCCGTATGGTATTACTGTTGAAAATGTAGCAAATTGCTGTCTGATTTAGTTGTGTATTAGGTTTTGAACAGGCAAATTGAAGTTTTGTTGTGATTATGTCTGAGTAACAAAGAAATTCATCTAAACTGAAAGATGTAGTCGTTGAATGTATTTTGTGCCAAAGCAGTGGAGAAATAGATTCTAGCAATTAAAAAACTGTAATATCAAGATTTTTATGCTTTTATTTCACAAGCAAGTAGTTGGATGGAAAGAAGGGAATGGCTAAGCATTAAAAAGTTGCTGTTTTGAACTGTTTTGAAGGATTTTGCCAAATTTCCGTGCTCTTTGGGTTTGTGACATTTTTGAATGGCACTCTGATTATAAGATTCATTGACAAAGTAGATTTACAAAACTAGATACAGCTACAAGATGTGGAGATATTTTCAGTTTTCACTATTTTCAGTAGTGCATGAATTTTGTTTGATGGCTGTGTGTGTGTGTGTGTGTGTGTGTGTGTGTGTGTGTGTGAAATATAGCATACTAACATACAGAATACAACACACACATGACCAGTAAGCAGACATTCAGTACGTTATACTATTTCACGGCAGGCAATATAATAGGAAATACCATAATTCAGATAAGAAATTATAAATTAGAGGAAAGACTAGTGGAAAAAATACCCAGGATTGAGACCTAAAGATAAGCAAGGCTTTGTGGAAATCCCTGCAATTAAGTCTGAAGTAACTTTATGACAGAGCGATGTTGTGTTAGTTCTCAGATAAACGTTGTAAGAACATTGTTTCCTTATGAGAAAGTGGTGCAGAAGTGAATGCTGTATAGTGCTGTTTAGAAATACATTTTGCAACTATATCTCTCACGTGTTTCTTTAGCATCTCCAAGGGCAGAGTCTGGCTCAGTGAGGACCTACTCCTGTTGAGGGACTGCAAAGGTGAGACAGGACTAGCTAGCTTTAAATGATTTAAATTATTTAAAAAAAAATTTTTTTATTATATATATTTATTTTATATTATTGTAAACTATTCAAAACAAATATAAATATATTTGCCCACCAGACTTTCTAAATCTAAAAAGCAAATTTTTTTCTGAACAGAAAAGGATAAAGAGAAAAGTATGTCATGAAAGTATTTAATGACCGTGTGTGGGCAGGGCCCCCAAAATGTGCGGTACACCACTGCCAATGATTACCTTCTGCATGCTGATGCATGTAAATACACAAATCTCGAGAATTTGCTCATTTACAAGTTTGACTGAAGCACTTTTAGCATTCTGTTGGGTTTCCTTGGGTTGCTATGACAGAGTAAGACACCTCCATATTTTGCATGCCCTTTATATGTCTGTGTCATTAAAGGGGTCATATGATGCGATTTCAAGTTTTCCTTTCTCTTTAGAGTGTTACAAG